AGAGATGAGGCGCCTGGACGCCAGCAGGGCGCGCTTTGAGGCCGAGCGCGCCGAGGCCGAGCGCGAGGCTGCTGCTCAGGCTCAGCGGCTGCAGCGGGCAACAGCAGCAGCCGACGAGGCAGAGACGCGTGAGCGGGTCCTCGTGGCGCTCGTGCAGGACGTGGTCAACAAGCAGGCGGCGCGGCTGGGCCGTGAGCTTGCGGAGAGCGCGCGCCTGGAGGAGGAGCGGCTGCTGGGCCAGGCCAAGGCCAGGGTCGACACGGAGGAGAGGCGCCTGCTGGCGCAGCTGGAGAATCAGCGCAAGCGCCTGCAGCGGCTGCGGGACCTGGCTGACGACGAGGCGGAGCGGCTGCGGCGGGTGCAGGACGAGGGCTCACGGGGCCCAGCAAGGAAGCGACTGCGCAGGGGCGACTAGGCGCTTGGCGCGGAGTTGCGCTCCAGGGGGGCATGGTGCTGTTTCTGGGATGTGGGGGCAACTGTGAGCTGTGACTGCGCCTTGGTAACTCTTGTCAACAGACCTTGAGGCGCGCCCAAAGCCAGCGGCGCGCAATGCCACGGCTGCTTATGTGGGCTGTTTGGTTCCAGGCAGCGCACGTCAGCAACGAGCGGCGAGTGCACTCAGCTCTGGTGCAGCTGCAAGAGCCGCTAGAAAGTATGAACAGCAATCTTTCACAAAGATAATCCAGCCAGAAACAGCAAACAAACCGCTGACTGCCAGCACCATGCTCTTGCAATCTTCACACTTGTGGCCGATAAGGATCAAATCAACGGTCAGCTTAAAGTGCTTCCATTTGAGTGGTGCCAAAGCACGGCTGCAACAGGAGTGTCGTGTTGTTGACAATCCAGGTGCGTGGTGTCTTTGCTGGTCCTCGTGTATGAAGTATGTGCTGCTGCTGCTGCTGCTGCTGCTGCTGCTGCTGCTGCTGCTGCTGCTGCTGCTGCTGCTGCTGCTGCTGCTGCTGCTGCTGCTGCTGCTGCTGCTGCTGCTGCTGCTGGTGTGCGCTCGCATGTCTGGCAAATTCTAGAATGGCAACAGCACATTGCAGCTGTCAATCGGTAGTCTGGACTTGGGACACAAACACGTACAATGGCCAAACTTTCTACCTTGATATCATAACATTGCTTGTGTGAGCAAAGTGTGCGAAGCTGGAAGCGCGTTCCTGGGCAGCGATTACGGCAACAGGGAACTCAATTATGCAGGTATTGCGCTTTCGTCTATTGCTGTTCTGTGCTTGCAGACTTCACAGAGCATCCGGCCAAGCCACTGCACCCAAATCACTCGATAAGTCAATTACATCGGTGCAAGTTTCCTGTGTGCAAATACAGGAAACTTGCTGCGCCACTCAAGGCAACAAACCAGGTCTGCAGTTGCCCTGGAGATGAAGGGAGTAGAGACCGTTTGATCGAGGGCAGCGGCCATGTGGCGCTGATGCCAACTGGCAACTGGAGATTTGATGGCAATAATGATGACCACAATCTAGAGTTGTGTGGTTGTGCAATGTGAGCTGCCAGCAGCAGCTGAACAACTTTGCGCTGAGCTTGTCATTTCCAAAAGTACTGGCCATAGCGGCAGCTGGGTTTGTTCGCGCACGTACACGCGGGTTTAAGAGCACAAGCAGACCTAGCACAAGGGCGCTGCCAGTCCCTACCAGACAGTGCCCACCCGGTCCACATGCCTCCATGCAATCCCTTCAATACCTCCATTTCACATTCTCATCAAAACCCTGCAGGTTCTTATGGCACTGGGCCCTTGTCAGGGCAACTCAAAGGGGCTCGTACGCTGGTGCTGCCTCCGTGTCATGTCCTTGGCGCCTGCTGTGCATGTAAGCTGACGTGGAGATGGGCAAGGGGGAATGGTGCAGCGCCAGCAGGACGACGGCGCGCCGGCGCCCAAGCTCTAGGCATGCGCGTTGGCGCCGAGGGCGGACAGCCGCCAAGCTCAAACATGCGATGCCGCGTTTTGCACCCTTGTTTGTGAACCTGCCTGCACATGCCCGCATGCACGCCCGTTTGTGTAGCGCAGACTTGCAAACTTGTGGGACCTTTGTGCGCACCTGCTGTGAACGGCGAACGCTGGCCACTTGAGTCCCAGTCACACAACGATGATGCTACAATGCTACATCCCATGAGCCTGCATGGCTCCAGGAGTGGGCGACCGCGGGATCGTGTAACAATCCTAATCTTAATCCAGCAGGAGCGTTGCCAGCGGTGGAGAGCGCTGGCAGTCAGGCCGCAGCCAGCGCCGGTGATGGTGGGCTCGGTAGCGGCGGCCACACAGAGGCGACGAAGGGTGTGTGCACATCGAAGCAGCATCGCCAGACAGCTCGTCAACTCTCATCAGAGCCAGCGCGCTGGGCGTCCGCGCCACTTCCAGCGACCTTGCCGCAATCAACGCTGTGTGCCTGCAGGCGGCAGCTGCCGCACTCAGTGTAGCTGCGGGCCGCGCCGCTGGACGTGGCCGTACAGCAGCTACTGCAGTCGCTGCTTTTGACAATGTGCCGACCTTGAGTCACTGCTTAAGGTGGGCGGGGATGGGGCGACCTGCGTCTCGTGTTGCATCCCGGGGCGCTGCAGCTGTGATTCTGGCTTACAATTGATGGAGCTGCCTAACCTGCATGTCAAGGGTGGCCGCTTGCTTCAACTGTATTGTGAGATGATGGCTTTGCTGCTGTGCCCTTGCCAACACCACATGCCGGCAAACCCAAGGAGGCAGGCCTGCTTGCAAGACCCTGCAGAGCAGGCGTCTACTCACGACTTCCTTGGCTTTCGGCTTGCATGCCGGGGTCTGGAACAGGGGTGTGATTTTTGTAACAGCTCGAGCTGCTGGGGTGGCATCTGCCTCTGGAAGACCGATGCCGTATGGGCATGCGCATGTGCATGGGAAAGGGCATGCGCCCCAACAAATATTTGCCACATGCCGATCAAGCTGCAGGCCTGATCAACCGCCACAAGCCCACATGCTGCAGCGCCCGTGTAGACTCATATTCATGGGCCATGCTTGACCACCTGCTGGCCTTCACGATGCTTGCATGTTAGGACTTGGGCCATGCCTGCGATCAAGCCACGTGATTTCATGCCCCAAGCATAACTTTGAAGGTCGCACTGTCGTCAGAAAGCGGCCCGCCTGTCACTTCAAATGGATCAAACCCCGAAGCAGCGCCCTGAGCCCGAGCTCGACAATAAACTAGAAGAATTAATCATGTCCGGAGATGTGGACGGGCTGTCACGCATGCTGGATGTTCAGGCGCTCGGCGTTCCCATGGGCGGGGACGCCCCGCTCAACTGCGCGCTGCCGCCCTCAGCCCTGCACTTGGCGGCCGCGCACGGGCAGGCTGCGGCTGCCAAAGTCTTGATCAATCGCGGTGCGGACATCAACGCATGCACGTCCAGCGGCTACAGCGCCCTTCATTATGCAGCTGAACGGGGCCACACCGATGTGGCGCGCACCCTGCTGGCGTGGGGCGCATCCGCCAGTGCAGCCAACCGTTTTGGCCAGCAGCCGCTGCAGCTCGCGGCCTCCAAAGGCCATGTGGCAATCATGCAATTGCTGCTAAAGCATGGGGCATCGGCCGCCGGCGCCTGCGGGAAGCTGGCGCTGCCGCTTGCAGCAAACAACGCTGGCCTGTTGCGCCTCCTACTGCAGCGCGGTGCGCGCTTTACGCCTGATGACCCTGCCGCCGGCAGCGCGATGTGCTTCGCGGCGGCCTCTGGCAACGTTGCCCTGGTGCAGCTGCTGCTGGACGCAGGGGTGCCGATCGACGCCAAGGGTCCCAACGGGCAGCGCGCCCTGGTGGATGTGACGCGATCTCAGTCGGGGTGTGCCCCCATGGTCGCCGCCCTGCTGGACCGCGGCGCATCAATTGATGCAGCCGATGCGCGCGGCTGGCAGGCAGTCCACCACGCCGCTTACCGTGGGAGGCCAGACGCCTTGCGCGTGCTTATCAGCCGCGGGGCTGACCCCAACGCCGCCTCTGTGTCTGCAGCCGCCACCGGCGCTGGCGCCGCAAATCCTGCCAATGCCGCCGCACCTGCAGCAACAGCAGCATCCGGCATCCGTCCCTTGCAGCTGGCTACCATGCACAAGCACCTTGATGCAGCCAACGTGCTCCTCAACAGCGGCGCCGACGCGTCGGCTGCAGACGCCTCTGGCCGGCAGGCGATCCATGAGGCCGCATCTTGCGGTGCCAAGGCAATCCTCTCCCGGCTGCTTGCGCGAGGCGCGCAGGCGGACGCGGCGACGGAAAATGGCACGACCGCCCTGCACCTGGCAGCAGAAAAGGGGCTGATGGGGGTTCTGCATGCGCTTCTCGATGCCGGAGCGGCGCCTAACGCCACCGACACGCGCGGCTGGACCGCCGCCCACTTTGCAGCCGCGGGTGCCAACAGCGAGGCGCTGCTCCACCTGCTGCAGCGCGGCGCCGACGCCAACGCGGCCGCCGCCGATGGGAGGGTGCCGCTTCACATGGCGGCGGCGGCGGGCGGCGAGGCCAGCGCCCAGGTCCTTCTGGACGCCGGCGCCCTGATCGATGCTGTCGATGCGGAGGGCCTGCAGGCGCTCCACCACGCCGTTGCAGCCAAGGCACACGCCGACACGGCCGTCATGCTGCTGGACCGCGGCGCCTCCCTGGAGGCGGCCACGCGCGGCGGCCGCACGGCGCTCCACTTTGCGGCCGTGTCGGAGAATTACGACCTGCTGCAGGCGCTCCTGAGCCGCGGCGCCGACGTGGGTGCGCAGGACGATTACGGGCTGCAGCCGCTGCACCTCGCGGCCGCCAACGAGAACACAGTGGCGGTGATGATAA